TTTTTTAAATCTATTTTTACCATAAATTCCAGGTAGATATAACAATAAAACCTTAAAAACTATGCTACAAACCTATTACATTTTTGTTTCACAAAAGTGCATCTGCTTGGTATTGCGATTTTAATTATAAATATATTGTCAAAAACAAAACATATATAAATTTAATTTATAACTAATAACTTAGTTTCCTTGTATCTACAATTGCACTATGCTTAAATTAAAAAAATATATTTACTGGCATTTTGGTTAAGTATGATTATCTAGTATTTAAAATTACATGTTGTTTAGTGATAAAGCCTATGTATCATTAAATTAGTTACATACTAACTTTCACCCGCGACTCTGTTCGCGTGGAATTGAAAAAAACAAAAGTGAGCCTATGTGTTCTTCCAGAATATCTTCTACATACCAAATTTCATCAAAATCCGTTCAGCCATTTAGGCTACAAACTCTTAACATCCATCAATTTTAACTTGCGCATTTATAACATTAGTATGATTATAATTAGTAAAAGATTGCATTATTACATTTAACTCAATAATGGCTCATTGAGTGGTATCACACGATCAGAAGGTGGTAGAAATAGTGGCAAGTGATCCTGTCATACTTGCTCTATCATCGGGAACTGTTCTTCTGAAGGGGGAAGGCTCTCTGCATCAAAGAAACTAGCATGTAGAGCTACTACAGTGACTGTAGCACCTGGAAAACAATTTTATATTTATAATTGAGAAAGACTAGAATGACTACACCCTTCTGGAACCTTCCATAGGCTTCATCTCAAGATTTTACATATCTGATATAACTATAAACTAATGTTATAGATGGAATATATTACATTGCTACATAACAGATAGATAAATTAAAACTTACCTAAGACCCAAAACAGAACAGCACCAGCACCAGCCAGCCAACACAAGGCCATTGAGGCAGCGGCATACACTGCATACTGCTGGGTTTTAGTTAATTCCCAACTTCCAATCTAAAAAAGATGTTATTTAACTTTTAAGTATGTGTTAAAAATATTCAGATGAAGTAAAGATTTATTCAGAACATACCTTCCATGTATTTGGGCCAGATGTTAATTTTCTATATCCAAAAAAGCTAGCAACCATTGCAATCAAAAGCAGCGGAGAAGTAATCCTATAATTAATTTAAAATTATGAAACAAAACACAAAAATTACACACCTATTAAAATATTTCCCGAAAATATACTTACAGACAATATGCAAAAAGTCCCAGGAATACCACCAAATAATTAGCTTGAAAATATTCAATATTTCTGTAAAACCGTCTTGTAAGCCGAGGTATTGAAGCAGGGGTCTGTAGAAAATTGCATTAGATCACTCATTAAGAAAAAAAACTGACTAGACCAAGATTATGCAGACCTGTAAATATGTATATTATAGTTGTAGTGTTAACTAACTAATATTTACATAATTATGATTGACAATGTAACAGTGCAAATTAAGTTCTTTTTGAATTGTAAAATTAGCAGACATAGTAAAATGATAAATTGCATATTTACTTACCTTAAAGTTTTCAGTTGCTATAAACTGCGTCCATGGTCGTCTGCTAGATAGTAGACCTAATACCAAAGCTGGAGCGGCACCGCTCCTGACATGTTGTAGTAGTCTGTACCAATAAGATATGCTCAGTCAGTAGGAGAACATGCTTTAAAGGTAGTAAACATATATGTTATGAGAAATCATTCGACATTCTAGGAAGATATTAGTAATTCTTAGTAAATAACATGCTTCAACATATTTAATATTGTTAGTACAACTTACATTTCTACTTCATTCACATACTTTTGTAAACCTTTCTTTTCAGTAGTGGCATTCATTTCTCCTGAAAGATCTATATTAACGTTCTCGGCCATATTTCTATAGTTATGTTAATTAAAAAAAAAGCAACAAATTGCACGAAGAAAGATTTCGCTTTCGTTTTCAATTTAAAACGTCGCAAAATCGCAAAAAAAACGACGTGTCAAAACGATCAAACAAAATATTTATAATTTTAGTTTTAGTCAAAGAGAGAGCATATAGTGCCACAAGGATATTGTGGTACCTTTTTGACATTGACAGGATGGCGCCTCTGAGCATTTAGGGTTACCAGTAATTTAATATGCCCGCATTAAAAGGAAATTCTTTCATTAAAAACGAAAACGCAAATTATAAAGGAAGTACTTGCACCTTACAATGTAACTAGGAAATGCCCAAGACTTCGTTTGTCGGTTAGAAGGCTCTATAGTTAAAGAATCTTTGTAGCAAACTTTTAGCAATGCACTCTCTTCACAGTGAGGGAAGGAATAGTCTTAATATTTCCTAATATTTTCCTAACAACATTGTTCTTTTAAATAAAAATAAATGTATTGATAAATAGCATAGATTAACAAACCACTTTTAAGAATAAAGAATACATCAAAAATAGTTAAAAAGCTAACAAATGAATACACACAGTTTTTTTCTTAATACGTAAGTAAAGATGATTTTAATGTCAAGAAGGTGGTGCACCCAGGTGCACAAAACACGTTACAATAAAAGGTCGGTCACTGCAATTTGAAATAGAAAATAAAACAACTTTCAGCAAAATATTTTTAAGTCAATTAGTATACATTTTTTTTTAAATTACAAATCTAAAATAGGCGTTGCCTTGAGAGTTAGGGAATTCCTTGATTAACAAATGGTAACAAATTCTGATTGCAACAGACACAAGATGATTTACATTTTCAAATGTAATTACTTCTTCTCAGCGAGAAAAATATCTTCCACTTGAAAAAAAACTGTCTTGCACTACTCTTAAACGCTTTCAACACTTTATTTCATGGAATAACATTAAAAAGCCACACAAAATTCGTAAAATAATGTAAAGTAATGACGCGAAGTGAACTGACAAGCTATGTCACTATTACCCTGACATTAAATGAAATATCATGGAAAATAGCGAAGGTAGCGCCACCCGGATCCCCCGTAGTTAATTTTTTTGGTCCCTTTTTCTTCACATCCTTTTTCTTATGAGAAAGGATGGAAAGTGAATTTGACTGCGAAGGAGATGCATAGGAAGGGGAAATATCCTCTTTATGTGCGTCTCCTCCTCCGTCGATTAAAGATAGGCAATTGGTAGACAAGTAGGCAACGCATCTGCAATTGCGGATGTTTATGGGCAGCGGCCGTTTTGCCATTTTTCGGATTTAGGTGGTCGCTTGCTCGTTTGCCTCCTTACAATATAGACAATAATCTCTGTATATATTTATTATATACATTTTCTTTCATTTATTTAATTTCACTTACGCCAGGAACTTAGAGGGGTAGGCATACACATATCGTGGATTTTTATTAAGTTCGGTCCTGCTCTATCTCTCAAAACATCTCTTCTGTACTTCACCTGCAACACTAAATCACTAAATTACCTTATTTAGTAATAAGGTACAATTTTAATTAAGTACCTAGGTATTAGATATTTACTATGTTAGATATTTAAAATGAAGTAAACACCTATTGAAAACATGAACAGTATTGAACCGGACGCTATTTATAGCTTGTCTATGACCGTTCAAACCAAAACCGGATAAGCTGTCTGCGTCATGTCATGGCTGGCAATAGGCTTGATCTTGATTTCTTTTCTTGCAAAAGAGAGTTTGATTTTCTTTGCAAGTATCATTCCTTCACTTTTTACTTTTATTTACATTTTCGAACGGTGTGATCTGCGGCATTTACAAAGTAGTATAATATTTTGTCTGTAAATTATGATTAATGTGTAGAAAAGAGTTATAGTTTCATAATGAACGACGGAGACTGGATTTGTAGCGATGCAAATTGCGGAAATATCAATTTCGCCCGCCGTGTATCATGCTATCGTTGCAATAAGGAAAGACCAGATGGAGGGAAACCTTGTAAAAAGAAGCTAGGTACAGAGATAGGAAAATCAGCTGCAGAAAAATCAAGAGGTTTATTTAACGCCGATGATTGGCAATGTAATAAATGCGCGAATGTTAACTGGGCCCGGCGACAAACATGTAATGTTTGTAATGCGCCGAAATTTGGAGAAGTAAGTTGCTTTACATATTTGTCCACATTGTAAATAATTTTGCGAATTCCAATGCAACTGGTGTGTTTGTAATTTAAGGTGGAAGCGCGCACCGGCTACGGCGGAGGTTACAATGAGCGAGGCGTCGTCGAATACCGGCGACGAGAGCCTTCTTCTGACGATGAATATGATGAGTTTGGAAGAAAGAAACGCAAGCGCAAATCCGATACACAAGATAAGGTATGTTTACTTGTTTTAGTAACTTTTTAATTACATCTCAACAACTTAACACATCATTGTAGAGTATGAAAGCAAGATGTAGTGCTTCTATTATTTTTACTCTCGGCATTTGATCTGGAAGCACAGATCTAGATTTGCAGGAATTATTTTGATTAAACATTTACATAATGAAGCAAATTGTGGATATTGAAGCTAAGAAGAAAGATGTTTTTGTTATAAGTGAAATAATTTTTGAAGCACATCATTATTAAAGTGGAGATAATTTTTCCTGCCTTCAGGTTGGCATCACTGAAGGACCGGTAAACAAAAAGTTGCCACCCACTGTGCTGCAGAAGGAAATTAAGATGGATCATGTATTGCAAGTGTCAGCATCAAATAATTCATTCCATCAAAATGGAGGAAGAGAAAATGTTAATGGTAGTCTTAGCGATGGCTCAGTATGTGATCTGCCTCCTCTTAGTAAAGTTGCATTTCGTAGGAATCAATTGCCAAATCAAACAAGTTATCTCAGACAGGAACCTATGCAACTTGGATTTAAGGCTAATTTAAATAATCCTCGGAAGAGAATGTCAAGTGTGGGTGATAGAGATTACACTGGATCATCAGGTTATGAGACTGGATCGAAGCAAAATAATGAATCCCCTATCATTAAGTCATACAATCCAGTTATGGAAAACAGAGTGTCATCAACAAACAATGACTTTGTTTATAAGTTCACCGGGTCAACTCCTGCTGAAGATTTTCAGGTCACATATACGGTAGAAGAAAGAGTCAGAGCGGCCGCATTTGCTATTGTGTATAACAACTGCAAAATTAGTACAACTAAATTTGAATCACTGTATGACAAACCTGCACCCGATTTCAAAACAATTTTTGCTTGGCGGCAAAGACTCTTATTAACAGGTTGTTTGGTAGACTCTCATTTGGAGTTGCCTAAATGTGAATCTAAGAATGAAAAAATTGTCACTAAAAATGCAATTGTAACAAATGAACTTGTAACCAGAAAGAAAAATGTTCAAATTCTGCCAAATCCTGATGAGATTCTTATTGGAAGTGACAGTGATGATGATGTGACAAAAAATTTAGAAATTGTCAGTAAACCTCAGCGGGCAAGAAGTTTGAGTGTTGAAACTGTGCTTCTTAGTGGAGTGGATACCGGGAGAATGGGTGGATCTATAAGTACTGAAGATAGGGAATCTCAAGCTAGAAGTCATTCTGCTTCCACTCATCAAAGAAATCGTTCTAGTTCTTGTGATAGCCAAGATTCAAATTATCCTGACACAGATTCTGAAAACATGGGCTCCAAAAGTGTAAAAAGCAGATCCAGAAAAATGAAACAAGTGAAACCTTCCATTCAAGAGTCTGATTCAGACTCTATTTCATATAATAGTGATGATGGAGACTTTTTATCAAGAGTATATGAAGATGGCCGAAAAATTAGACACAAAGTCAAGAGGGACTCAACAATTACAAAAGTGAATAATTATGTACCAAATGAAATCAACAGAGTTTTTTCAGGATACAGTACAGTGAAGCCATCGGAACAATCTCCATTAGTTACTGGTAATATTTACACACCTATTTTACATAACATGAATGTTAAAATGCCAAATAGCATTGTATTGGACACCGATGGTTGCTCAAGTGAATATGTGCCCACTAGGTTAGGCTCTACAGCTAAACGTAATTATCAAGAGTTCAAAGACAATGTTAAAAAGAAAGGGTACTGGGCCAAAGGAAATTGTACATCTATTGGAAATAATAAAACCTCAACAATAACCTCAGTTGCACTTTCAACAGCCAGAAATGTACAAAAACCTATAGAAGAGAAATTTTACACAGAATCTGTCAATTATGTTACAACTCAAAGTAATAATCGAGTAGAGGATTTCACGAAAGATGAATTTGATAATTTTTCATCAACAAACCACTACACACCTTTTGATAAGCCAATAAGTTCTGTGCCTAAATTAGACATACCAACTGAGAATACTGCGCGAATTTTCGATCTTGTACAATCTAATTCTGCATCAAAAAATCGAAGCATTATGGATATTTTTAATACAGGTGATCAAACAAATAGTCCAGAAAGAGATGATTTGGAGAAATATGCTAATGTTCATAAAATGTATGAGACTGAGTGGGATGAAGATGATGATGCTCTCTACAATAATACTGATTCTGTTGACGCACATTCTACTAAAGCTCGGACACCTTCGCCACCAAGTATTGGCTCTATAGCAGTTCACAGTCCCATGTCTAAAATGCTGTATGTCTCAGATGTAGATCAGCCGGCAAAAGCGCAGAGTATTGGAAGTTTAAATAATTCAAATTTAGATTTCATCACAGATAAGCGTGACATCTTGTTGGATTTGTTCAAAGATATCCAAAAAGGCAAGGAACATGTAGATATAAATAACATACAAAAGCAAACATTATTGAAAGAACATGATAAAAGTAAAGACTGCAGTACATTCAACCAACAATCACAAGTACTACCCAATCATATGAAAGTATTGAAGATGGATCCAAAACCAGTGATATTAACAAATGAAGTAATAAAAATACCACCTGAAGTAAATAAAGCATCAACACAAGAGTTAACAAAAACAATAAGTCCATCAAAACGTGTGAAAGTGTTAGAATCGATTACAATACAGCCAAATACTCAACAAAAACCTCCTGCTAATATTAATATTTGTAACCCCGACCTAAACAGTTCGGAAGAAACATTTCATGACACAGCTGTATTTAATAAATCTCAAACACAAGACTCACCTGCACCTGCTAAAATTGTAAATGAACCACAAACTCTTACGCCTATTGATCCACAATTAGGTCAAGTAGACTTTACTAATATTCTGTCTAACATAAATACTAATACATTGCTTATGGCGCTTCAAAATTTGCAAAATATACAAACTTCTAGTATCAGTAAACAAAACGAAGCTGCCCCAGAGCAAAGCAACTTAGGTGATCAGAATGTAGAAACTATTAACTTGACTAATGATGAGGAATGGGAAAAAGAATCAAATAGGGATGGTAGTATAGAGAGACAATTGGAAAAATTAGATGGTAGTACAGGAGACACACCTTTTTTAAGTGATATTTTCGACCCCGGACCAGTCGGTATGACTAAAAAGTTAAATATAAGTTTAAATTTACTTGATGGTGATAAGTCTCAAGAACAAACTCTCGGTGATGAAGATGCACCAGTGATAGGAAATTTTAAGAGTTTCGCACTTCCCAAACCGATATTGTTGAATAGGTTAAAATTGGCTGTTAAACCCTCTGAGAAATATATTAAAAAATCTATTGAGGGAAAGAAAAAACGACGGAAAAAGGTTTGTATAATAGCTTTTTGATTTAGTAATTGTGAGATAATGATTTGCTTATGTGTGTGTATTGCTACAGGGCAAGGCGAGCGGGTCACAGGACGAGGGCGCGGGGCAGGACGACGAAGAGGAATCCGGAGACGAGGCGGATCTTTCTAAGTATGATCTTTGGGGCAGTGATGGGGAACAGGGCAACTCTACCAACTTGGGTTAGCATTGCGTTTAGTATGACAACAAATACATTTTAAACAAAATTATTGTAACTCAATAATTTAGTGAAACAACTAATTCAATACACCTATGCATTTTCCTTTTCAGAAAATTCAGAAAAAACCAAAGAAGACGAAAGTCCCAAGGAGGGATCGGAGCAGATGGAAAAAAACGGGAAAACTAGCACACCTGATGTAAAAAGTAGTAGTAGCAAGAGAAGGTATATTATAAAGCGGAATAACTATTTATTTACTATTTTAATTTGATGTAGCATTAATTTTTTTAATAATTTTCAGGTCTCGCAGTTCCTCATCATCATCAAGTTCAACTTCGAGTTCCAGTTCTAGTCATAGTTCCACAGAGCCTAAAAATAAGTACGTTTTTTTTTTATTTTTCGAGAAAGTAGAAACAACTCGCTGTTTTTAAAAGAATTTCTGTAATAGTCGAATATATTGAATTAACAGATTCGACGATTTCAACTTGAACAGCGAGCGCGAGGGGTCTCCGCGGCGGAGGAAGTCGCGCACGCGCTCCCGCTCGCCGCGCGCGCGCCCCGCCGCCGCGCCCGCGCGCCGCAAATCCCGCGACAGCAGGTCCGCCGGCGAGACCAGGTAGGACACTCAACTGACATCCTAGCATTGGATTACTAAATATTATATCACGGAAAATGTAATGAATGTATTTTTATATAAATTTGCAAAGTATCCTCTTTCAGAAGCCATGAGTCGTCGCGAGATAGCGAGCGGTCGCGGGAGAAGGGCAGGGAGAGGGAGC